AGTAAAATTTCAGGGGAAGTAGATCTATTAGTGGTTTGAGGCCCTTAAATCTGATCTGGAACCTAAGAAACTACTTTCTTTGTTCCTTATCTAACAGAAAATTAATTGATAATGGACGCCAGCTCTTTCCTTTTTATAGTGAGAACCATACCTCCCGCCACTTCAATCCAGAAAGTGGAGTTCTTGCTCCCTTCGCTATTTTTGACGCTACATGTGTATTGGCCAGAATCCTCCAGCCTCGCTTGAGGAATCGTGAGAGTGTTGTTGTTACCGAGACTCACCCCATCCTTAGTCCAGTTTATCTCAGGTGTAGGGCAACCTCTTAGAAAGCAATTCAACTGAAGCGATGAATTATATGCAATCAACTGATTCTTGAGCTGAGGATTGATTTCAAGAGGACCTGGGCATAGAGTTGAAAAACACAATTCAAAGCAGGTGAAAAATAATAAAACAAGAAAAACAGAAAAACAAAGAGAATAACTAAAAGAGTAAAAGTAAAATAAGATTAGTCTGTGACATTTAATATGCAGAGCTGCTTTCCTTACCCTCTCAGTATTTGAACAAATACCGTATTACAATGAATGCGTAGTGACCAGCGACTCCATAACTCGCTCGATCAGTAATGGTGAGCATATTTGCGTTACCAAATAACTTTCCATCCTTTGTCCAATTCAACTCTGTTTCAGGAGAAACCCCTCATAAAGTATTTCGCTCGAGTTGCTGAATCTAATTTGACGAGCTTTTACTGCCAACAATTAATTTCAAGAGGACTTAATTTATGTCCCCCATCCTCCCCCTCTTCCTTCCTTTTAACTGTCGCTCACCCCCTTGTTGTAAGTTCCAGTCTTTCCCTTGCTCTTCCCTGCTGTTAAAATCTATATATAGTTTTCACTGATGAAATGCTAAGTACTTGCTCTCAAAAACTAATTTAACACTGCCTTAGGGAAACCCCTCACAAACAAATTTATTTGAATTGTGGAACCTAGTTTGACAGACTTCTCTCGCCGAGAACTGATTGGGGAGGACCTTTTATCTCTGAAAAGGAAACTAATAATTAATTTAAAAGTTAACCCCATCCCCTCCCCTCTTCCCCCTTTCGACCGTCGCTCACAATCTTGGCGCAAATTTCTTTCTCTCTCAAGCTCTCCCCTGCTGTGAAAGTTAAAGATGGCAGCCATAATTATTTTGATAAAGAAAATAGAAAGCACTCGCTCGCCAAAATCTCGCCTGTTCAGTAGGAAAGTGTAACGATCTTTCCTTCTTCTGACCAAAGAAAAATTGTATTTTTTTCGCCTGACAGAATATAAATCTAGCATCTATTCGGAAATCATAAAAGTCCTGTAAAATTTTTTTTTGATTCAACACGTTAATTTTTTTTCTTTTTTTGCCCTTTCTTCTTCTCTTTTTCTTATTGCAAATAAATAAACAGGAGGGGGACTGAGGGGGAGTATTCTCAACCAGCACTTCTGGAGTCCTCTTGTTTCTCTTCATACATCAAACCACTTACATTTACAAGGCCGTGAATCGGCATAACAGTCCAGCGCCGGGAGGCGGTGCATGTGTAACGCAAGGTGGCTGAACACAGTTTTTGCGCGCGCTTTTGCTGATGCAATTCAGCGCGCGCACAGGGATAGCAAAAAACAAACATGTCGTCAAAAGAGCGGTCATTTTATTTACACAACACATACGCGCAGTATCTGTGCTATTTTTCTCTATAGTTGGCGCAGTGTATTCAGGGCTTTTATCTTTTATTACAAAGGTATATTACAAAAGTTAACGGTGCAAAGAACCCAGTAACTCTCAGCTTTTTCGTCGTTATCGAAAGAACCCAGTTAAATGCAGCGAATGCCAAGAAGTTGCGATTGAATAGAAAATTGCTTTCTCGGAAATATGCCTATTTCTTAAAAACCACTCATTAGAATTTCACGAATGTGGCACGAAAATACTTTACGAGATAAGTAACTGGCGTATTGAAAAAAAAAATGATTTTAAACAAAGGAAATTGTAGAAAATTGAGTGAACCTTCAACAAGGGATAGTTAAAAGATCCCTCTGTTAAATTGTTAGCAAAATGGTGTTAACTTGTGAGTACCGTTACAGGCTCGTTGCATGCAAATTATAAAGAGAATCTAATGTCTAGATTTTCTACTAAGAAATTAATTGCCTGTTTATATCTATCCATGTCGCAATGGCAACGGCAATACATCAGTCCAACTAGTTAAAAAACAAAGTTTGTGTTGTTAACCTGCTTGCTGCCAGTTTTGGCAAGGGTTTTAGAGAAAATTGTGAAAGAAACAAAGGTATCAAAAACTGTGTTCAGCCACCTTAGATTTGAAAACAGCCTATATTGCAATCTCAGTATTTAAGAAATTTGAATAAAAAGTTGAATAAATTCCTTTGAATAAAATCTTTAAAGTGCATTTTCAGTCTTAAAAAATCCACGGGCAAAAACCAGTAATTGCACTTTCGAATTACCAGGATAAAAATCTCGTCTTGTCACTTACCAACTCTTTCCCGGTACTGTATGCATTCTTTGTAGTCGCTACTCCATGATGACCACGCCATACAACCTTTAAAAACAATAAGTTGTGCGAAAAAATCATTTGCGGAAATTTTTTACCAGCTGCATAAATCTGCACCTTGCCGTAAAGGATATCAACGTAAATAATTATCATTGTCAATATCCTAGGTTTCTAATTTCCAAGGAGACCTTGAGCTAAAGTCACCGCGTTAAAAAGATAGATGGCTTGAAGCTTATAAATTAGCCGCCTTACAGGTCCCTATTTATAAGCATCATCCATGTACTCCAAACATCCCCCAGGGATTTATCATGTTATCGAGCCCGAGAAAGTAAGGTTTTTCTTTTCTTTTTTTCTACTGCTCAAATAGATGCCTGTACAAAAATGATTAAAGAAACAAACTAGGATTATAACGCTGTCACTTCTCAATGCCACTGTTGCTGTTAAAGCCCTAACAGAGGGTGATCGAAACCATTCGTATTCAGTCGCTGTAACGTTTTGCTTCTATTATGAATCTTTGTATTGGCATCATCCACTGATCCACAGAGGAACACTGTCCTGTCTGTATCCGTTTATTGGGAACCACTCGTTTGTTCAATCGACTTTATTATTTCTACTGATAAACGATAGTTCAAGCAAAATTACTTACAATCTGTTAAACAGGTTAGGATGAGGACGTTAGGTGAACATAAAAAGAAAGATTGCACATACGGTAAGTAAATGAGTGGCTTAATATAACGTTGGATTACTTGGAAACCACATCATAAGCTTCATGAACTAGCTGAACATGTTGTACTCACCCGCTTATAAATCATGAAAGTATGCCATGAAAAAGAAATATAATTAAAAAAAAGCCGTTAAATCACTTCTATTATAACCAATTTGTTTGGTTTGTCTTATTTTTCTTTTACGTTGAAGTAAAATTAAATAACAGGGTTTGTTACAACAAACGATCATTCCTAACATGACTGACATCTGATGATGATCACACGTACAAATATCGTTTATTACAGGACCTAGGTTTTCAGAAATACATTAAAACTGACCAAAACTGACAGAAAAGTATTTTCGACTTTAACACTTAACAGGAACAGTTATCGGTTATCGTCAGACCTATACACCCCCAGATCCCTTTGCTCTGTTTACGATTGCAATTTGCGGATCAGTAGCCAGGTGGCTCAGAGAGTCAATGATGTATATTAACTCACAGGAGAGTTCTTCATTAATGGGAACGGATGATTTTGATAGTTACCTTCCCTTTCGGCTTGGAAGTTAAAGATGAGATAAGAAAAGATGAGAAGTTAATGATGTGAATCTAATTTAAATAAAGTTTTAAGTTAGGGAATAACAATCCATCGTAAATTCTAACTTACATTTTAGAAAAAAAGGAATTGGGATTCAGTAACGCATAAACTGAAGCGAGTGATGGCACCTAACTTTACATTTCTGAAACATTTTCCCAGGATGCGATGTGGGAAAATAAGTCCCCAAAAACTTCATTGAAATTACTGAGGATGGGTTGCCTTTCCAGAGTCCAGTTTAAATGTACATGTTTCATGTCGATTTCGCGTTATGAGTTTGACTGATTTTATGCGTCGTATGACCAGGCCTTGAAGTACTTGCGGTTTTAACTCTCTTCTGCGCCTGGCAGAATTTATAGTGGTCGTAAGTCAGACACCGTAAACATTTTTGTTTGCGGTCCTTGACGAGATTCAGGCGTTATCACAGAGCAGAAAACGTTAGCATCACTTAAGAGAATGTTCCTCGATAGCGTTCACAAGTAGATCAGAGGATAAAAAGTCAGTTATGGTAGTCTTCAGCAAATCACAGAAATACGCCTTACACACACTGATGGATGTCAGCGTAGATTTCATTGATTAAAACTGTACTATTAAAAGGAAAAGCAATTTCTTATGGGTGTGTCGGTATTGATCTAGGGTCACATCGAGGTTTTACTTCGTCAAATCCTCCATTTTAACTTCTCAGGCAGTCAGATGCAAAATCGTATTTCTCTTAGTGGCGTGCTTTTTCCAGCGCTGGATGCCAACTGCTTACGTTGAATGTGAGTTCCTAGAGCTTTAACTGATTTTTCATCGTCCTAATTCACCGCTACGAGAACTGAACTTAGAATAAGAATAAGCAATCCATTATCAAGTACATTTTCGAGCATAGGATGCCAGATGCTTCCTTTAGATTTAAGTTCCCTTAGGGGGGAACAATAGGTTACAACAACTTCGATTTTTTAAAATCGACATGGCCTCCGAAAAGAAAAAGTAATTCACACGGGATCCTATTGTAAATGGGATCTTAAGTACTAAAGAAAAAATTGTCGTTTTGAGCATGAAAATTAAGAATAAAAATTGCGCTGGATAAGTTTTCTTCAACTTACCAGCTAAGTGATTGAAGAATTGGCATGTAAAGTAAAACATATAGAAATAAATTAAAATACGCACCTTCAGCTCAAATACATCCAGTTGTTTTTTAAGAGATACTGCAAAATTTTCTTTTTATTGGGAACTATTCGTTTGTTCAATGGACTTTATTATTTCTACTGATAAACGATAGTTCAAGAATAACTACTTACAATCTGTTAAACGGGTTAGGATGAGGACGTTAGGTGAACATAAAAAGAAAGATTGCATATACGATAAGTAAATGAGTGGCTTAATGTAACGTTGAATTACTTGGCAACCACATCATAAGCTTCATGAACTAGCTGAACATGTTGTACTCACCCGCTTATAAATCATAAAAGTATGCCATGAAAGAGAAAAATCATTTAAAAAAAAAATTAATTCGCTTCTATTATAACTAATTTGATTGGTTTGTCTTATTTTTCTTTTACGTTGAAGTAAAATAAAATAACAGGGTTTGTTACAACAAACGATCAGTCCTAACATGACGGACATCTGATGATGATCACACGTACAAATATCGTTTATTACAGGACCTAGGTTTCCAGTAATACATTAAAACTGACCAAAACTGACAATAAAGTCTTTTCGACTTTAACACCTAACAGAAACAGTTATCGGTTATCGTCAGACCTATACACCCCCAGATCCCCTTGCTCTGTTTACGATTGCAATTTGCGGATCAGTAGCTAGGTGGTTCAGAGAGTCAATGATGTATATTGACTCACAGGAGAGTTCTTTATTAATAGGAACGGATGATTTTGATAGTTACCTTCCCTTTCGGCTTGGAAGAAAAGATGAGATAAGAAAAGATGAGAAGTTAGTGATGTCAATCTAATTTAAATACAGTTTTAAGTTAGGGAATAGCAATCCATCGTAGATTCTAACTTACATTTTAGAAAAAAAAAGAATTGGGTTTCAGTAACGCATAAACTGAAGCGAGTGATGGCACCTAACTTTACATTTCTGAAACATTTTCCCAGGATGAGATGTGGGAAAATAAGTCCCCAAAAACTTCACTGAAACTACTGAGGATGGGTTGCCTTTCCAGGGTCCAGTTTAAATGTACATGTTTCATGTCGAATTCGCTTATGAGTTTGACTGATTTTATGCGTCGTATGACCAGTCCTTGAAGTACTTGCGGTTTTAACTCTCTTCTGCGCCACGCAGAATTTATAGTGGTCGTTACTCAGACACCGTAAAAATTTTTGTTTGTGGTCCTTGACAAGATTCAGGCATTATAACAGAGCAGAAAAGGTTAGCATTACTTAAGAGAATGTTCCTCGATAGCGGTCACAAGTAGACCAGAGGATAAAAAGTCAGCTATGGTAGTCTTCACCAAATCACAGAAATACGCCTTACACACACTGATGGATGTCAGCGTATATTTCATTGATTAAAACTGTACTATTAGATAGATAGATAGATAGATAGATAGATAGATCGTTTATTAAAAAGAAACACCTCGCAGTCCGAAGGCTGAATTACGTGTATAATATACAATACAAGAAACAAAATTCATAGTTAAAATAGTTTAAAAATCTAAATAATAAAAATATACAAATCTAATAAAAAAGTTTAACTTAGGATGATCTTGTGTTAAAAAAATATACATACTTAAACATATATATTTACATCCTTAGGCTAGGGCTAACAATAAAAGACTTTTTCAGACGATCAGTCTTGCACAATGGCACGTT